TTTCGCATATGTGTTACCATGAAGGATGGTGTAAACGAGCTACCTATCATGAAGTTGGAGAGCAGTGACAGTTTTCTACTCTGAACTGAGCTGGGCGCTTGTGTAGACATTTCACATTATTACTCAACTTCTCTGTAGTCACTGGAGTCTTCCGGATTATATTCATTCCGCTCTGAACCAGCCCCGTTTTTAGAAAATAGTGCATTTTTTTCACAGATACCTGTCGGCTTTTATTTTAGCGGATTAAGTTGGCTGATCTGTTTGCACGATTACCAAAAACTCAAACTTCAGTCAAACCAAATCTGTTTTATCATCTTTCGTTTAGTTAATCTTGCGGTGATTATTAACTGTGAGATGTTTATAACGGACAGCGAAAGGTCGAAACAGAGCGGTCGGCTTTCCGCACCAGATCCTCAATGGCAGCTGAATTTTTTCTCAGCAATGTGTTTCCAACCTAGTGAATTACCGGATATAGCACGAACAGATCATTAGGTATTGTGTCATATCAGTTAGAACAGAGTGGAAACTGTGCTGTTACAATGGCCATAAGAGTGATTGCCTTATGTTACCCCTTTTACATTCTCCTTATTGCCTCAGTGACTATCTTTTTCTCACGTTTTAACACTTATTTTATTCATTCTTGTCTAACATTTCTCATATCGTGTCCACTTCGCACATGTTACCTGGCTTTGCCCTTTCTATCCTTATCTGATAGCTTGTTGTCCACTGAACATTTTGCACACACATTCATTCATTAACAGCTTAAGCGAATAAAGCGCGGTATGTGTGACGACAGATGGGCATACGCAATGCGTGCCCCAGCCAGCCTATTGGCCCAACTTCACCTCAAGAACTCCAACCTCTATCACCGAACAAATATTGCTATTCAGATAGACCCATGATACTATACTTTTTGCAAGTCAAGTTGTCCCAGTATCATATCAAGATGTCCTCGGGTTATTTCAAGATGTCCGGGAATCATTTTAAGTTGACTGATCATTATTTCAAGTTGTCCCCGTATCATTTCAAGATGTCCTCGGATAATTTCAAGCTGTCGCGTTGACCTCACCGGTGCTGAAATGATTCG